GGTTTCTACATTTTAGGTTCATTTAGGCGTTAATAAACAGAGGAGCGATCATAGCGCTCTGCATCAGCAGTGCTGTGTCTGTCTCCCTGCCAGCTCCCAGATCAGCTTCTCTGATTGGTTGATGTGGCGCATCCAGCAGCTAAAGTTACATTTTTCCAACTTCAGGCGCTGCTGCTTGTGCAGCACATGATGCACGTCAGATGCTGAGAAGCTCGTGAGGCGCTGCTTCAGCTGCAGGACCTTTTGCTCAGCCTTGATGCTCGTCAACCATTGATTTTGCATGTAAACTAGCTGCTTCTGCTGCCTTTGCAGCGTGCGGGCTGAACGTAGCATAAGGCTGTAGACCTATTAGACCAGAATCCTCCATGTTAGTTTCCTTCCCCTAATGACTGAAGGCTGCCAGGAGTCCAGACTTCTAACCACATTGACTCCATGAATGATGAAGCAGTCAGAGGTAGGAGCAACGATCTGGGCCGTCTGAGCTGCAGAGCTGGAAATGCTAACGGTTGGAGAGGGTCTCTATGCAGACCTTCAATTTTCTGAATCTGGACTGGCCACCTCTGGTTATTTGGTGCTGAAATCAGAGGAATCCTGATCAGAATGAATGAGGGGATTAATTTTCACAAGTTCTGCTCCTGAATGAAACAAGTTCAGGCAGTAAACCAACATCTGATCTGATTGTTTGGATCAGAACATCTGCTGCTGCGGACCTGCTGTAGGGACGGGCTCCGCAGACTCCAGGATAACTGGGCTGGGTGGTGTGGATGGAGGAGGCGTGGCTGCAGGGGGGCTCTCTCTGCTGGGCTGGGGCCCACTGGGTGGAGGCGTTGGGACCGGAGTGGGAACCAGTGGGGCCGGCGGCTGCTAAGAAACACGGCGAGGTCAGACAGAAGCTGGTGGGTGGTCAGAGAGCTGAGGGATTTTCTTTACCTCCGTTTCCTCGTTACGCTGTGATTCAGCTGCTTCCACTTCTGGCTCTGGAGCCGCATCTGTGCGGTTCAGCATCTGGGCCACAGTTTCACTCAGAACCTCGTTAACCAGCTGCCTAATTAACGCCGAGTCCACGGACATGTTGGAGTCTACAAAGAGTTGCAGACCTCCTCCTCCTGCCGCTTCCACTGCAGACGAGACGGACATGAGAAGTTCTGCACAAGTTCTGAAATAAAGGGCAAGAAGAGTTTGGTCCAAACTACCGATGTCTGACGTGAGACTCTGCTCCTCCAGCTCCGATTGGTCCGTGGAGTCATTCTGGGCGGGATCAGGTGGGGGCCGGGAGTACATGTCAGCAATCATCCTAGACATCAGCTGCTGCTCCACCCTAAACAGAACAACAGGAGCAGAGTCACACAGAGCAGAATCAGCAGAACCCACAGAGGTGAAGCCCAGACCCAGTCGCACCATTCCACCAGCCGGTCCTCCAAGACATCCCGCCGAGGGCCGCTGGTAACCGCAGGGGCCCCTTTCTCAGCACGGCGGGGGGAGGGGGCTCTAGGTGGGAAGGCGGGGCTGTGGTACCGGACCGGACCTGGAGACGGGCGTCCCTCCAACACCACGGCCTCCTCTCCCACCTCACTGTTCTCTTCCTGGAGAGGAGAACCTTTTAACCACCTTCCCCAGATTAAAAGTTGTTTTCTCCATAAAAAAAAAAAAAAAAAAAACTTCTGCACTGCAAAAACGATCTAGAAATAAGTAAAAATATCTTAAATTAAGTGTATTTACTCTTAATCTAACCAGGTAAATAAGATGATTTGCCAATGAAATTAAAAACTTCAATAAGACAACGCAATTTTTTTATTATTATTTTAATTATTTTTTTAGTTTTAATTTTTTTATGTAAAGGATCTTGTTCCATTGGCAAAGAATGGAACAATTCCCAATTTCAAGACAAAATGCACTTATTTTAAGAAGAAATAACTGAAAATCACAGAAAGGATTCGCTGTGAGCAGAACCAAACTTTCTGTTTTTGAGCTCTATTTCACAGGGGCGGAGCTAATGATGGGGGCCCGGGGTGATCATGGCCCCCCTTAGCCAATCACTGGCCACCCCTGTGGATATTTTTAACTAGTTCCCCTCTGAACAGAAAGTTATGAACATCTGCAGTCATCTAAGAGTCATCGATGTCATTTAGATAAATAACGCTTCAAATTGGGCGTAAATCAAAGATATCTGCGTCATACCTGCGACACACTGCTGCGGGAGGATAACCAGCCATTAAGTCCATGTAATGTAGGTATTAGTTTAAATAAATATCAATAATATTCAGAACAGTTATTTTTAAAAATATAGTTAACATTTTTCCACAAATCCAAGTAAAAACTGAAAACAAATACATGTTCACCCCAGAATTCAAAGCTGAAAGAAATCTAGTCCATTTTTAATATTTGAGATCAATACTGATTGGAGAACAGTAGATTGACTCTGAGGATCTGGCGCCTTTCCGCTTTTGAACGCCCCTTGATGTACATTGGTCCCTGCCTGGGCACCGCTATGACAATTTTCTGGCTACGCCGCTGCTATTCTAACCCTTCAGACTCCACAAAAAAAAGCTCTGTGAGGGTGAACTTCTCTAGCCTGGGTGCCATTCCGAACTTAGTCCCGCCCACAACGTTTGAG